GTTTATTACTATTTTAAAGATGATCTGAAGATCGGTTGGTTTTTGGGTATTGTTACGAGCATTCTTTTTTTATAATATTATTCTTTTTTTAAATCTAGATAATTAAACTTTTTTATAAATTCGTATTATCCAAGTCAGTCAGTGGCCTCTACACTTTCTGAGCGATGGATGCAGAATACCACCCTGAAAAGTACACCTCCCCTACTTCGAAAAAAATGGTTAATTATTTTTTGACACCCATAAATTTCAATAATAATTTTTATTGCAACAATCTTTAATATATAATATAAAAAAAATATATACTTTAAAAATATTATTTTTAAATAAATTAGGGAAAGAGAAAGCGAAAGAATTTACAATTTCATCAATTTTAAATAAATTTTTTCCCATTGATACAATGTTTAAATTATTAAGAAATGTATCATTCATGGTACTACGAAGTCTTGTTTTAATTAATTTAATTTTACTCTGACCCTTTCGTCGGCACATGAGGTATTAGGAATGGTTAATAAATATTTATATAAAATTTTTAATTAGGGAATGCAGAAAAATTTTAAAGTAAACGATAAGGTAAAATAAACGAATAGTTTTTCCAGTCTGAATCAGAATTATCATCAGAAGAAGAAGAAGCCAAATAATATATTAATAAAAATATTTTAATTAAATAAATTTACAATTCTCGGAATCCGACAAATCTTTAGATTCTTTAACCTAGGTCTAGTAATAATTACATCCCCCGTTTTAGCCATCTTAACTACAACATTTCTTCAAAAATTTGACTTGAATTTAAATGGTAAAATTCACAGATATTATCTTTAACGATTGTATTTTCCGCAATTCCCGTTTGTTTAAAAAATGATGTTTGATTTAAAAATTTCATCGATTCATTATAAAATCTTTTACAAAAATGTACCCCAATTCAAATTTTTAGAAGCAGTTGCTTCGGACATCCCTTCCCCCCCCCCCGTTTTAGGGGCCACTTAAGTCAATTATAAAATAGGTATTTTAACAATTTTCTAAATCAGCTGTAACATATTATATTTTGATAAATAAAAATATATCAAGATCATCCAAATCTGTATAATTTACCAAGTTTTGATAAATGCTCAGTTAATATATGTATTACATTATGAAAATAAAATAAATTGGTTTTGTAAATTAATTCTTGTGTGTTTATTATTTTTGGGTTAGAAGTATTCCTATTGTCATCAAAAGATATAACCGTACAAGATATTACAAGGAAGGTTAAATAGTCATATTAGGGAGTTGTCCAAATTATCAGGAACCCAAAATAGACAGATTTGATTGTATTAGGAAAGAGCAAAACGCTACCTTTATAAGTAGCACGCTATCGCTATCGTTTTCAAATGAGTAGCGCGCTATTAGCTACTTTTTACGCTATTTTGATTTTTTTTTAAATATTTTTTATGTAACTTTATTTCCACAAATAAAATATTGGTATAAAAACATGACTATAGTTTGTTACACATATATATATATAATTTATTTATTATTGCACTTTAATAATAATAACATTTTAGTACTCTCATCCCCAAGTCTAGAGCGACCATCAGAAAGTATAAGCTTTGCCATACCATACTAAATAATCGTTCAGCACTAGCACTTGAGGGCAACGCAGTATTAAATTTAATAAACACTTTTTATATGAAAAATATCATCAAAAATATTTAAATGAGTATTTTTAGATTTAAAAAAAGCATCTAGAGGTTTAATAATATTATTATTTTATCAAATAAATCGTTATGGAAGGCCGCGGTTTCGATCGTATCGTGGTTAGGCATGGCATTTTTTAACGTTACCATCAGCCTATCAAGTTGCCATTTAGATTCAGTCAAATTAATGTATGGCCAATTTAACTTGAAACTAGGATGAACGATAGCAGCTATTACATTATCATCATCATACAGATCTTAAAATCTAATTTATATAAAGCGATTGTATTTATTATAAAAAAAGAAGTTAATTTTCAAAATATAAATTTATCTGAGATTTAGATTCATTTATAAAAAAATATTAAAAAGCATTAAATTATGGTAAATAAAGATTTTAAAAATATAATTATTATACACAAGGTAATTAATAATATATTCATTTTGAATTTTATATTAATACTATATGTTAATATTATTACATTGTGTTGTAAATTAAGCCAATTTAAATTATGGCTAATCAAGCAATAAATCATTCATTTTATATAAATAATAGAAAATAAAAATAAAGTTTTGACCTTTTCTCAATGCCTTGAACAGTATCTATTATAAAGTTCATTATGACTTTGTCAGCCAATTTTTGAGATACACCTGGTGTTGATGAATCCAAATTGCATAATTTTGTTTGAATTAAATTTGATTTGGAAGTGGATGTATCTTCTTCCATTACCCCAAAACTTTTGAGATATTTTTCAACCTCTTTATAATTTAAGGTGTGAACAGTCTAAAATTATAATAGGATAATTAAATAAAAATGATTGAAATAACTATTTTAAAATGTTTTAAATTTTTTAGATAAAATTTATGAATATATAAAAAAAATGATTAATCTTTGATTTAAATTTATTTTAAAAATTAAAGATTAGCCTACACATTGATATTAAATTTGTTTAATATATTACCTTTAAATGTTTTTTCAAAAGCTGCTTGGATGATTTGAGGATAAAATTTTGCGACACATCTTGCAGCGAAACCGATATCTAGTAGTAATTTTTTCTTCAAGATTAAAGTATTTTGAATTTTGGGAAAGGATAATCTATATTTTTCTAAAGAAATTTCTCTATCTTCAACAATCTCACACATTTTTAATAACTAAATTTATAATGCTAACTAGATTTTTAATTTATATTTTTAAATATAAATTTCAAAATTAAATTAAATAAAAGGATTATAATTTTAGATTTAATAAAAAATATATTTTAATAAGTTTTAGATGTATTTATTATGTAAAATTGAAACGCGCTACTTCGCTACTTTCTAAATTAGTAGCGAGCTACCGCTATCGCTATTTTCTAAAAAAAGTAGCCCGCTAAAGCTACCGCTACTGAAAAAAGTAGCACGCTATTTTAACAACACTTGGAAAGAGTCTGAGATGTGTTTGAAATTATGCAACATCTATAGCATTTTTTGGATATATTATCAACCATTATGGGATAATTTAACATCCTCAAAATAAAAATCACCAAATTTTATCTATCAAGATTTGAAATAGATTCTTATGGATTCGCCGGTAATAATATTTTGAGATTTGTAAGTTCTGCATGATGAATTAAGAACTTTTCATTCATTTGAGTACTACAAATATCCTAGATGGGGATATTTTATAGTATTCTTCGACTGACCCTTTATTAATTTTTGACCGATGGGCCTACCTTAGATAAATATTAGATTCATAGAGCTCTGCTTTTAACTCAACAATCACATGTAATTTATTAAATTCGTCATCTATTATTGTCCTAATTTTCTTAAGTTGCAATATATTGCTTTCAGCTATCCTCATAGTCACAATCAATCGATGTCATTTTTTTTAAATATATTACATAAAATACTTATGTAATTAAATAATTTGTTTATATTTAATGTAAAAAGAAGTTTGGTTGTAGTTTTGTGTCCAATAATCTACTTCTGAATAAATGTTTTTAAGTTATAAAAGTCGCTACTACTTGATGCTGAAGGCTTCATCTTGTTGGACAAACTTTTTGTAATATTTTCCATGTTGGACAAGGAGCTTAACATATTCTATTTATTATATTTTATATCTTGATGTTTAGCTATCTTGCCTAATGTATTTTAATCAAAATAAATAAATTATACCTAAGAAATTTAGTATCAATTGGTAATGGTATATAGGTCATTATTTTTTATATAGGCATGAATCCCATTTGATTGCCTACTCATTGCATGACTCCATCATACTATCAAGATGACTAGTATTCTAGTTTTTATCAATACTATTTTAACAGTTCTTATTAAATTAATTTTGAACCTTAAATATTAATTTTTTGAAATATTTAGATTTGCATTAAAAAAAGTTGAAAATGTGGTAGGAAATTTTAAAATTTGAGGTTAATATAAAACTAAGGAAAATTTGAAATCAATATTAATTCATAGAATAAATTAGTTGCATATATATTTCTGCTATAGAGATGATAAAAACTGCAAATTGAAATGTATGTACGATAAGAGGTAGGAATGATTATAAAATATAAATTAATAATCATAAATCCCCCCTCCCTCCACTGCATACGTGCCTGAACAAGGAAAAACTATCTCACAAAGTTCACGAAAAGATTGGGTTGGAACTATTGTGTCACCCTCTGTTGGTTATTTATTTCAGAGCAATGACGTAAAGCAGCTTACAAACGTTCATTAATTAGGAATGGCTAGAGGCCTATCAGCAAAACAATAATATCACGTCTGACAGAGTGCAGTGGCAATCATTAGGGATGAAAACATCTCAACCACATAAATGCCAAAGAAATATGTGGCACATGTTTACCATAAAGCAAAACATCCTCTCCATGGTCTTTTTAATTGATATAAGGCATAAAAACAACTGATTTTTTAATCATATACGACCACTTGCAATTGCTGAGAGAAAGAAAGGCCTAAAATAATGATACATATATATTGATAATTATCCCATTAGTTGTATCATCTCTCTTCAAACTTATAAGTCAAGGACCCCTAAATCCATATCGAAGCGATTAAAATGAAACAATAAGCTACGAACAGATTTATGGTCATTATCATATGATAAACTTTTAATTTTTTGTTTTTAAATTGCCCTATTGGCTAATTTTATTTCTAATTTTTTTTTATATATTAGCCACATTTACTTTTTAGTATTTTAATGTTATATTATTCTTATATATTTGAAATAAATGTTTAAAAATATAATTAAAACGCTAACATCTTTACCCTCCTAATACTTTTTAATTTATTGTTTACTATCAAATATATTTTATTCTTTTTACAAAAAAAATAAAGGTTAATGTGGGTTAGATTCTTTGGAAACGTTTGGATATACCCCATATTTCATGTATTATCAACTTATGAAATATTCTTATTTCTTTCAGTCATTGTGCTCTTGTTTATAACTTTCTCCTTTTTGGGCCAAAAAGTCAACCAAATCATTTGGCGACCTAGTTAGATTTTTTTTTAAATTTTATACCTTATTTTTGTTTTATAGGCAAAATTCCAAAGAATATGCTTTAAATATATCGCAAGTCATTATTACTAGAAGCAAAATTCCAAAATGTATTGAATCTCAAATTTATAATTTTTAAAACAATGCTTTACCTAATTAATTTATTAGCAAAATGTTTATTTAAATGTAATTTAACTAATAAAAAACCGATAAAATTAAAACTTTTTATTTTGGATGATAAAAAAAAATTTATAAAAAAAATAACTTGATACCGTTGATATACGCAGATATAATATAAAAAATGGAAAATAAAAGTTTATATTTATATATTTTGTATGAATTTGAAATCATAAATACGCGTCGTCCGTCGATATAATTAATGTAAATAGAGTAGGAAACAAAATGATATTTATAATGAGTAAAAGATGATATAATAGGAATATGACAATTTTAATATATACTAAAAAAACTAAGCTAAAATTTATGGTATTTTTTATTTATTTTTAAAAATTCATATTTGTTTCAAAGCATTATAATAAAATTATTTTGTCATATCACAGTTGGGCAAAGGGGACTGAAATAATATTTCCAACTTTCAAATTTTTTTAAAATGGTTGTAAATGTTACTTTGGGTAAGTTATACTCACTACTTAAAATTAGAATTTTTAAGCTAAAAAAATAATACTTTGTTTGGTGGATTTAATTATTTTTAATTTGTAAAAGGACCCTATTTTATTTTAAATTTGTATTTTTAAAAACATACGAATTTATTGTTTAAAGAATGTAAACGGCGTAATACTTTTTCGTAAATTATTATTTATGAAAATTGAATATAAATGTTATATTTATGTTTTTCTAAGATCAAAGATTTTTTTAAAATGAAAAAGTTAAATATTGTTTATAAAATCTGTTTATGGCGCGTTTAGTATCCATTATCTTGATTGGTTTCTTGTGAGTTGAATAGTCTGTAAAAAGATTTCATATGTTTGTATTGTTCTATCTCGGCCTGTTGCTTATATATCACGATGGACAATTCGGCCTTGTGTCTTATTTTTCAAATATTAATCATTAATACGTTCAAGAATTTAGACTCGATATTTTTTTGCATTAAATAACAAATAAAATATATCTCTTGTCGAACTCTATTTTAAATTAAAACTTATAGTGCTTAACAATTTTTAAGAGATTTAATTTGAGAAATGATTAATTTTTTTTAATAAATAATTTAAATTATGTCTATTTTAAAACCTTGATATTAGCTTTTGGTAATTATCATCGTAATCTTCATAATCCTCTAAGTAGAGTGGTCTTAATGATTGTGGAGAAAATTGAGTTATCTAATTTTTTGTTTTTTGAAAAAAATAATGGCTTAATAATCATTCCCTTTAAATTTTTAAAATTTTCAACCATTAATTACTTAAAAAGATAAACGTGTATTTATTTTTCGAAAATATATAAAACAAAATTTATAAAAATCCATACCTTGGAATAGCAACTTTTGCAGAGAAACTTTTCAGATTCATCCAGATCTCGTCTTAATAGTTCGTCACCACAAGGTGGCCTTAGCTGTGTTCCATAGGCGGGATGCTGATGTGGTGAAGCTTCTGAAGGTAAATATGATGTTTCCCTGTATTTTATCATAGTTTTTTCAAACAAGATGCTCAACTTTTGGAGATCTTCTTCGCTTTTACAAGCTCTAGGTACTAAGCCACCATATTTGAATGGTAACGGAGCTTGGCTATTGTGGAAGTAATCCAATGAAGATTGCTGATTATCGTGACCAAGGATATTATATTGGTTGGGAATAGGTTGGTGAATATTGTTCCCGCTACTGATGCTATCTTGGTGGAAAGATGAAGAAAGGTGATTATTTGGGTGATGATGATGATGCCCGTTGAGCCGGCTTCTCACAGGAACTTTGCGTGTCAACCTCATTTGCATATTGAGATTGTTCACACTATTATCGGCACTATGGTTTAAATTGTTGGTATGATTCCTACGTTGTTTCGAAGAAATCTGGGGTGGTAGTTGATGCCTACCTTGCATTAGCGCCAACATATTAGTTGGGAAAGGGGAGCGACTAGTGTGTGAATGAGTAGAAGAAAGGCTACCTCCTCTATAGTGACTGTGGTGGTGATGGCGAGAAGTTGGTTTGCGTTTATGCTGTCTGGCTTCTGTTGCTTGGTAGCAACTACGAGCGTCCGGAAAATCTATGTTGTAATCATTTTTGAGTGGAGCAAAGAAAATATCCAAATTGCGGTCGTGATTGGCGTTGACATGGCCTTCTTGGACGCTGCCTTGGTCCTCGACTTCCAGGAGATCAAGACCACCAAGTAAGCTTTCTGTGCTAGAACTACGAGAAATAGTGAAAGGACTTGAATGGACAGAAAAGAGGGATGATTCCTCCTAATATTATAAAGATAATAATAAAATAAATATTTTAACTGAAAAAATTTAAAAGATGCAAAAATAATATCTTAAAAAATTACTTTCTCGTCCTTTTTATCTAAATGTTCATGTTCCATATACTGATAAAAATGGTATGATGGCTGATAGCTTGAAGTGTAAATAGGCATAGAAGGTTCTGTACTCAGAGGCTTAAAGTACACGGGTTCAGGGTATTTTATCTGAGAAGAATTATAGTCTTCAATAGTATTTTGATTAGTTACTCCTATACAGCCGTTAAGAAAAATCTTTCCTTCAGTATTGCTAATTGAGAAACGCCCTTTTTTGGTAGTAGTATACTTTGAATTGTTAATACGAACATCTATATTTTCATCGGAGGCCCCACTATTCGATTTTTTAATGGGCGATCCCGTTTTATCTATAAGCCGTTCAAAATTGGTTTCAGCAGTGTTTACATAATTGGGATTTTCAGCTTCCTTCGGTCCATTATCCACAGGTTCTGTGACGATTGATGGTTTGACATTATTGGGGTCCACTACCTTGTCACAAGTAATACTTTTACCAGTCTCTTCAAATCGAGCTATAATCTCCTTTCCAGTAAGCGATTCACATCTCTTCAACGAATCGTTAGAACCTTCAACGGAGTTTGTCTGATTGTGAAGAAGTACTGAGTTTATCACATTCTGTGATACCAATCCAATGCTAAGAGTTGGCAATGAAGCTTTTTTGAAGCTGTTAATGTTGATCGATGAAGGGTTTAGAACATTGTTGCTAATATTATTTCCGCAACCATTAGCAGTATTTGAGTTTCCGCCACTAGTGTTAGTATTATTTGCAAAAACTTTGTGTAGTTTGTGATTTAGGGATTCAAGATCTAAGAGAGGAGTCGATTTATTGTTGTTGTGGTAATTAGAGCCTCCTAAGGCGGTGTTATTTGGAACTAAATTGCTACCTGTGTGATGTGACAATGTTTTTTTAGCAGTAGTGTTGATGAGACTGTTTATACTGGCCGAGAGGGTTGAAACCGTAGAGGATTTATTACTAATTATATTGTTACCAGTGATTTGAAAGATAGATGATTGATGAGAGTCAATTTTCTTGACCGTTGTAATAGTATTTGGATTGAAACTAACATTAATATTTTCGATGCTGAGAGCCGTTGAAGATCCTATAAAATCGTTAGTCATATTTGCTTCTCTATTTAATGTCGTTTTCATATCGATGGGAGTCGTTGTTTTTAGATAGTTGGAGGATATTTGTTGTGGCTGCAGCGGACGCTTTTCATTGATTTCGGGCATATTATGAGTTGTTAACGATATAGGTTTCGAGTAGGAGTTGTTAATCATGTTTTCCATTACGGAAGAAAAGGGAGGTATAAATGTCGGGTTAGAAACGTTGGAAGAAGAGGAATTAGAAGAGTAAGGCAAGTTGAGGGACCTGGTGCCACTATACATGGGAGTTTGCTGAATGTGATTATGATTTTGCATGATATTGTTTTGAAAGGGTGGCCCGTAAGGCATAAACCTATGTGGGTGACTGTAAAAGTTGGCTAACGGGTGATTGTGGGGAAGGGCATGTGGATGAGGAAATGGAGGTAGCATTGTATGTTGCTGATTTATTTGATTCCACAAGTGATACTGATAAAAGTAATCGGTAGAATAGGGATAATAAGTGTGGTAGCCGGAAAAAGAGTTCCTGTGGGATATAGCAGGTTCGAAACAATTCAGTGGCGTATTTTGTTTTTGATCGTAAAAATTTTGTTGGTTATTAATAAAGGGCTGAGGGGCGTGCCCCATCAAAGAAGGGTGGTAGTGGTTGTAATTATTGGGTGGCGTTGGCAGAGTAATGTAAGGATTATTGAGCATTTGGTCTTGGTTGAGCAAAAGCGTTTCCCAAAATCGGTTCGATAAGTTTATATCTTGCATCTCCTTGAGTCATAATTTAATTTTTTTTAAAAAAAATATTTGATAATTATAATTCTATACCTTCATTTTTCTAAAAAAATAATTAAATTTACTTTCCAAATCACACAAACCAAGTGAAAAATTAGTGGCTACTCTTAAAGGTCATAAATATATTTATCATTGAGTGACCAGTCACTGTACGATCACAGTATAATATAACAAACGAATGATAGGTTTAAGGTTTACAATATTAAAGTAATAAATAAATAAATCATGCACCTTTTTGGCATTGTAACCAACATCTCGATTCTCAATCTTCACAGGGTGCTGACCACTATCAAAGTTTAAAGTGTTTTCGTTTCCGTTCTGATAAATAGAACCAGTAGAGTTGGGTTGTTGAACCTGATCTTGACTTTGTTGTCTAAAAATTTGGCACTGGATTTCCTGTAACTTCTGTTGCAGCTTTTGAATGGCTATGTTTGTGAGCATGACGTCTCTTTCCAAATACAAATTACTATGACTACTATTACCATTAGCGTGTGGGGCTGAGCCTCGCCTCTTCAAATTATTGATTTCTCCGTTCATTGCCTGTCTGTTCTCTTGCTCGGTTTCGGAGTGATTGGCTGAGGCCAAAGGAATGGGCGTGGATGAGGAAAATACGAAGGGCAAACTGTGGGTTATTTTCAAATGTATTTTATAATTTATATTCCTTCATTTAATAAATATTTAAATTACTTTCCAGGAGGGAGAATCGTAGTTGCGATAGTTGAAGAAGACATGTTTTTGTGAACATCTTTGACCGAACTGATGAGGTGAATAAGTCTTTGCGTGAAGGCTTCACTCTGGGTACATGAAAGGAGGTTTTGTTGAATCTAATGATATCAAAAAAGATTTCATTATGAAAGGATGATAGAGCTTGAAATATTTTTATATGATCAAATATCACGATTTATATCTTAAAATGAATATAATAAAGTATGACATTCCCAAAATTTTTAATTACAAACTTATATTTTAACATGCAAGTGGATTGTATGAAATGGAAAATGTTTTATAAAAATATATTTAAAAGCAAGATTTCAATAAGACTTAGATATGTAATTTCTTTCAGCGGTATTCAATCAAGAAGACATTAATTAATATCTTTCCAATAAAAATTATAAGTAAAAAAACAAAAAAATAATGGAAAAATAAATGTTACCAAATTATTGGCTATATCGTTGGGATCCGTTGCCTCGGGCGTGAACTTAAAAGTGGTAGTTATTTGCTTCCCCGTGTCTATAACACATTCCAAAACTAGCTCCACCAAGCCGTTTTCTTGGTCCATACTTATGACAGCTAATTTGGGAAGTGACGAGCAAATCGAAGAGGAGGAAAGAGAAGTGGGACAGGAATATTCAATTCCAATGCTTTTCTTTTTAGCCCTGCTTGTCAAAGGTTCAGTGTTGATATTTGTAATAATAGTGTTAGTGGAGGTACAGGTGGTGGAAGAAAGTGTTGTGGATAACTGAGACTTAGCAGATAAATATAGGTTTGTGGATGAAGAAGATAGATCTTCGTTACGAAGGGATTCACTTTTGAGTATAAGTAAGATAAACATATATTAAGCTACTTAAGAAATAAATGAAAAATATAAAATTCGAAATAGGCGTGTAAATCTATAATTACACTTAAACCTAGGAAGCTAAAAACCAAAAGTCTATGATTTATTACACTAAAAATGTCTAGCAATCAAACCCGAATTGGGATTAAAAACGAGAATAATAATTGTTTTATATATATAAAATATCCAGTTACCTCTCAGAACCGGAAATAATCATGTCGTGTTGAACGGTTTCCGAATCGGATATTGGTTGCTGTGATTCGACGCTACTACTCATCATTTTTTCAATATCCTATCAGAAAAAATCGAAGATTATTATATGGCTTGTGTTAAATAAAAATTAAGAATAGAAAAAAGGAAGTATTATAGTTTAAATATTTTTTTTAAACAGAAAAGGTTTCAAACAAAAAAGATAAAGGTTCAATTAAAAAATGAAAAGAATAAAATTTTCATTTTTATATTATTTTCAAAACTAAAAATTCAAATAAAATTTAAAAAAATGGTTATATATATTGAATTTTAAAAAAAATAGCAATAACGAATTTTCCTTTGAATGGGAATCCCGGCACTAATTATGGAAGTGTGAATTGATTTAAAAATAAATCATTTATATGATTATGAAAAATATAATGAGCTTTTAAATATGGTATTAAAAAATTATTTATTTACTAAATCTAATATAAAATAATATTTTAGAACTTGATCACTGGGCAGCATTGATACTACAGGTTCGAATATTGGACTTTCGGGAGATTCTGCAAAATATGTCAAATATAAAATCAATAAATCTTTTCATCAATTTTTTGTACATTTAAAGGAAAAGTAAAATAAAAATCTTATTCATTCAAAAGAGTGGCATACTGTTAAAACAGCCATATTTGATTATTCTGATTGGCCTGTAGTGAACTCATCTTTGTAGATATTATTTACATAGATCATTATTACCTTCTATAATCGGGTTAAGGAGGCAGGAAATAGACGAAAACAAAGAGGAAGGCACCACTGGCAATGGAATAAAATTGGAATGTGATGTTAATGGCCCGTTTACAATACTATTCATCGGATTTGTCAAGGAACAAGCTGATAAGCTGCTATTATTGGTGGATTCGTTTTGAATGTTCTCGCTATTCGTATTCATGTCAGAAGTGATGGCGTCTTTGCTATCCTTTTCTCTTTGAGAAGCATTAATAGCGACAAAATTTTCTTTCTCGTTAATCGTATTTGTCGAAGTCAGGGACGTTTCCCTCGAAGGAGCATCTTCGGATGGTTTATTTGATAATCTCATTTCGCAACTATCCATAATTGTTTCCTCTACAATCGTTCCCCCATTATTATCCAAACACTCAATCGAAAAACTTTCGGAAGTTGGATTTAACAGCTGAGCGGAAGTGTGTGTTGTCTGAGACAAAGAGTTGCTCCTAACCACTAACGAGGGTGTAGCGTTGTTACTTAATTGCAGAGATTCGTGCTTGGTCAGAGCTTGTTTTTCCTTTTCCAACGCTTTGCTGACAATCGCCACTCGTTCTCGAATGAGCTTTGCTACACAACGAATGTTTTCCACATCTTCTTGGAAAAAACCGGAATTGGCCTGTAGAGAAATATGATCATTATTTATTTCTTACTTTTAAAAACAGCTCTATTTTTTTTCTTTCTTTCCTCTTTTCTTACTTTCTTTACAAATAAATACTCACCATCTCCTGGGCCACTTCCATTGGATTATCAAGATTGATATCAAAATCAAACTGCACCGCCTCGTTGGTTTTGCATTTATCCTTTCGCTTAGCAGGGTTAAGAACAAACAGGCGTAGTTGTATACAATTTGGCGTTTCGTTTCTACATTCCTCTGGGGCTACCAGTTCGACCTTTGATAAAATATATTAATGCAACATTTTTTTAGTTTTGTGTTGGGGTAAGAATGTTTTTAAACTATACAAAGGAATGATTTCTAAACAAGGTGGAACAGGGTAATGTGGGTCAGCCCAAGACAAATACTTTAAAATTCATATTGAAAAATCGCTTATAGATTAACGTTTCACTTTCTACTAATTTAGTAAATAAATAATAAATATAATCAAATTTTTAACAGTAGTTTTTAATTAAATAATTACAAAATGATATTATATAGTACTAGCAAAAATTATTTGCAATAATATATAATTTTGAAAAAAAATTTGATTAAATGTAGTGCTGTAAAGTAACGTCATTACTAACGGTATTACTTTTTTGAAGAAAAGGAATTCCATTCGTTACCCTTTTCTAGAGGTAATGAGTAATTGTAAGTGTTTCTTTTTTTGAGTAACGGTAACGCAAAACGTTACCTTAAAATTTTTTCCTAAAAAATATGGGAAAAACATATTTTGTACTATAAAATTATTTTTTAAATTTTATAAATAATTTAAGCAGAGTTTTTAAGTCAGATACCAATAAATTCCTTCATTTTTATTTTAAATTTTCAGTCAAGATTTTTAATCTAATTAATATTGAATCAATCAAAATATGTTAATTTTTAATTTTATTCTGTAATATTATAATTTATTTTATAAATATTATGTCAATTGTATATATTTCTTCAGATGAACATGATTTAACCTGCCCTAGTCCCAATATGATACATTTTTTACGCCAATAAAGAAAATGAAGGATACAAAGTCTAAACTTTGTAAAATTGTGTCCCAACTCAAATATTTCATTGTGCAATAAACATACAGTCTCAAACTGTGCCGCCATTCTTAAGGAAAAAAATATAACTGATTAAACAGGTTATAACAAGGTAAAACTCTTTTTATAACTCCGTGAAATTAATAGTTTTATTAAGGAGTATAGCATATTTGATGAATCTTGTGATAAATCCGAATTGCAGAGATTTTCAGATAATGATAAGTTGTTCATATTTATATTGTGGTTAGTGTTAATTAAAAAATATGATTTATGGAACCTGTTACTAAGGTTTTTCGATTTTAAAACTTTTGGGATCACTCTTACGATAACTATTATAATATTAAAACTTAAAATTTTCTTTAAATAATTTCAAGTTTTGTAAGCCACTTATTAATGCAATCCTGCAAGATATAGATAAAATGTATACAGTTGAAATATTGTTTAGAATTTTTATTTTTGATTATATTTATTTTCAATAAATCGAACACATCTATAAAGATGAATATATATTATCATCAATATTCACCCGCTACTTAGATTAGATTGGCCCGAATAAAATTATAAGCCAACGAAGGCAGAAAGCTTGAACTTATTTCGAGTTCGAGAAAATATCTTGACAAAGAAAAAACAGACTTTAATTCCTTTAAAAAACAACACACATACCAGATTATTTCCTGATAAAAATAAAAAGAATTTTGATGGAAATTTGAATGAAGATTCCATTGAAGATCTAGCTTTTTTCAAAATAAAGATCATTCCTAAATTTTTAATAAATTCCCCCAATTAAAATTTTTATTTAACCATGCTCTGCGGCAGTTGAACGTGTGTGTGTAGCACAGCGAAATATGTCTTGTTTATCTGATCAAAATTTTGGAAATCATTTGTTGTTAAAAATAAATAAAAAATTATTATAACAAATAAATTATTCTTTTATAATCTTATTTATATTATATATAGGGAAAAAAAATTATTATAAAAAAATCTCATATAATATATTTTTTGTATAATTTTATTTATATTGTGTATAAGAAATATTTGTATATAATATTTAATTTTTCAAGTAACGCGTTACTTTCTGAATAGCAGTAACACGCGTTCTTTTTTTAACATGGTAACGAGTAACTCGTTTCTTTTTTGAAAACGTTTACAGCACTAGTTAAATGTATTCATTTGAAAAACAAAACGGTCTTAGTTATAAAAATAAACTTTTCTCCAAAGAGAGGACTTTTATGAAACCATAAATTTAAAAAGTTTTATCGCATAATATAATATATTTTTCAAAATTCTAAAAGTATGAAATATTAATAAAATAAACTCTTGTCTTTGTGTATATGTGGTAACGGGATTCGATGAGGATTATGAAATTCTCAATTTTAAATTTATTACTCATTGTACATTTGGAAAATCTATTTGACCGGTAATGTATTCCAGTATCCATAGTATCTCATTACAAATTTCTAACAATTTTGCCGTTTACTCTTAAACTTATACAATATAATTGATTTTTTTTCAAGTTATAATAAAAAAAATATCAAAGGTACATGGCAAAATTGTATGAATACTCTAAACATGCGGATTACATATCCCGTGTTAATGAATTTCAGACAATTTGACATAAAAACTTGTATTATTTTTAAATTTTATATGAACAATCTATAATTATTATAAATCATGAATAGTTTACAATACTTGTCAAAATTGTCTGCCATCTGGAAATACATTTCCGATCAAATAAAATTTACAAATTTAAAAATTGCCCTCAGTAAACGATTTAAGTGAGAGATTCCGAATCCCCATGGATTCCATATCCCATTACAACGCATATTCGCAAATCAATCTAACCTTGAATCCGTAATCCTCCATAAAAAGTTCGTGGTTCAACAAGCTTTTAGCAGTGAAACGCTTATCACATTTAACATCTATACAACCTTGGATTATTTCACGTAGGGCCGGAAGCTCGACTTTCTCCAAAGCCACGGGTTTAACCCCCTGTATTATTATTTTTTTAAATTTAATCTCAAATCTTATAATCTTTGTACTTTTTTGGAATTCAAGTATGAATTTTTTATATATATCTTGACAGTATTTAATCTCAACTACAATGTTTCTTTTTGAAAAAATCTTTGCCCTATTTATATCTCACATAATTAAGGTATAGTATGGTTACGTACTGTGGTTACTCTCTTGTAAATCTGTGCTGCGTTATGGCATTCTGAATAAGGATATTCGCCAGTGGCCATCTCCAGCACGCACATACCGAAAGCATATATGTCTACGCTTTCGTCATAGTGTTCTTCGTACATCTCGGGAGCCATAAATTCAGGAGTGCCTAAAAGAAATTTTAAAAAATTGTAATATAAATTTTTATTATGAATGTAATTCAGATAATTACCTTGACTAATTATACATCATATTTATATGACTAAATTTCATGAAGCCTATCTAAAAATGAATATTAATTAGTTTATCTATAATAAAATAACTACGTAATATTGATAAATTTATAACTTCATTTTACAACAAATGGTACCAATTAGACCTATTCAAAAGCGAATACGAATCGAATAATGATTTATTTGCATTGGATTCTTCTACATAAATCGAATAAAAAAATATGCTATTCTTATTCGATTAGATAATTAAAAATAGTGAATAATATAATTCTAAGGTTGTTAAACGGCTCGATTTTTAAAAACGGCTAACCCAATATTTTAGCCATAAAATATTATGCAAGCTTGATATTTCATTAATATGTCTAAACTTTTATGCCATCTATAAAATCTCCGGGCTTTCGTAACATTTTTTTGTTAAAATCTTGGGTTAGCAGTTTTTAAAAATCGAGCCGTTTAACAATCATAACGATTAGTTTAAAGAATCTAATGAATAATTCATTATTCAATTCGTATTTGAATAGGCCTTGTGCTAATATAGCAAACCACTTTTTCAAAAAAATCTAATGAAGGAATGTGAGACGTTTTTTTATTTAAATTTTTTGGGGGCAATACAGATTAAATTTCAGCGATAATTAATTAAATTGTTTTCAATATTTTTTCTTTTCGGAATTATTAATAAGATAGTATTCTTGTATTCTTGGAGAAATTTAGGCTAGCGTGTAAATTAATATACAATATAATTTGAATATTTTTTATCGCTCTAGCTTATCGTTAATTTACCATATTTCGATTTGGCAAATAAACTTTTAAAAAAACGACGCTTGGAGCTCTACTACACAATGATTCAATATGAATATATGATATAGTTATTAGCATACGTGATTAAAATTAATGAAAAAAAAAGTAAACAAGATATTTATTTATGAACTCGTATTTTTAAAAAAAATGGGTTCAAATAATTTTAGCTGATATCAGCGAATAAAACTTTAACTTCAGAAAAAAATTAAAACTACAAAATTTTATTAAACAATTATAATTCGTTCTAAATTAAGTGAATGGAAATTTACAAGGCTGCTTCCAAATCTTTTTTTAACTCTTTCTTTTCGTTAGCTCTAATCTATTTTTTGATACAAATGATCGGAACACGTAACCAAAAAAAATTGGGTGTGGCATTCTTGGGATCAGCCCTCTCCCAAAATATTTTATTAAACAATTATAATTCGTTCTAAATTAAGTAAATGGAAATTTACAAGATTTGTTTTTTTTAACTTTTTCTTTTCGTTAGCTTTACACAGTGTTGTGATGATTTAATGAAACATATTGACGATTAAATTAAAACCCATCCATATAAAATTATAATCTTTGCAAAAATAATTAAAATATAAAAGCATTATTGAAAATTCTTTTATTACTCCTTTTGTTATTTTAATTATTTTTGCAAATAAAATAATTTTATATGAATGAGTTTTAATTTAATCGTCAATATGTTTCATTAAATCATCACAACACTATAATCTATTTTAGATACAAATGATCAGACCGCGAACCCAAGTTCGGCTTAGCAAACCCTCATTACAAACCCCGATTTTCCCCAAATTCCATCAAATTTTTTGAAGTTTAGATATAAAAAAAATTCACCCCCCCCCCCTTAAGGTAATGTTTCATGTAAACCTGATACGATTTTTATTGTTATTACTAAAATTTGGTATTTAAAATTAGTACGAATTTAGTGGTTAATGTTTTGCTTTGGTACTTAATTTGTTATTTCTCGTGCATGTTTTATAACAAAAAAAATACAAAAGTTCAGCTCATTTTCTTTAATTTTTGTTTGGTTTTTATTTTTTAAATATTTTTTTATTCGATTATTAGGGTTAGACTGTGCCTTAAATATCAAAAAATTAAATTCACAAACTTTATTGGAAACAAGGTCCAAAACATAATTCTAGAAAATTTTATAAATTTAACATACGGACTTAATTAAAATTTGTAACTTTTAGATTTTTTGAAAAAGATTTTGAACACAGCCTTAACAAAAATAATATATATGATTAATTTTTAAAATCCAAAACTTGCAAAAATCCGGAACAAACCGAAAGGAACGAAGATTTATAAACTAGGACGAACCTATATCAATTTTAAAAAACTGAAACCGAAATAAGCCGTTTTGAACCGAAATGGAACTGAAGAGTTATATATTGGTTAGACGCCCTGATTCTACTTAATCTGATGATATATATTTTTTAAATCGAAATATTTATATAACAAGTATTATACCTATCACGCTTTTAGCGAAGGATGATTTTTTGAGGGTAGCCAGACCTAGGTCTCCAATCTTGACAGAGCCAGTGTTGCCGGTTATGAATATATTGTCGCATTTAAGATCCCTGTGAATTATGGGCGGATCCCGCGTGTGCAAAAAATTCAACCCTTTCAGAATCTGTCGGCACCAATTCTTTAGGACTTTTATGTTGAGTTTCTTAAAGCGCTTGATGTAACTTTATTTATATTTTTTATAAATAAAATAATTCATAGTTCTCAAATATTTGTCGGTTTTTCAAAAATAGAAACTTTTGTTAAATTTCGCATTGGCATATTTGTTCTATTAAGACTGATCAACACGAATTCAGTTAATTAAAATTTGCGAGCACAATCCAAAAATTCGCTATATTAGCCTTGTCTTTGCAGCAAATTAAAAAATGGAGCGAATACCCACATTTTGTAAAAATACTACCTTTTTATTGGTGCGCGTCAAAAAAGCGCAAAGCTTAGTCCGGCCAAAAGTATTTCTATTAAATCATGTGTAAAAAAATTGGATATTATGATCATGTCTATCGTTTTTTTTAAATAATTTACAAATTTATATTTTTGCGTCGGAAAACTGATTTAATTTTTTTAAATAGATGCGCAGTAATCATTAGTGCATCTCGTGACTTAAATAACGATTTAGACTTTCTCTAATATAGTAAATACTAATTGATAAATTTTCTTCGCTCTTTTTAAAATTAAAATTAATGTCGGCTAACATTATAAAAACCAAACTGAATTATTTTTCGGATAATTTCAAAAATATGGCGATTTCATAAGTCTGTTATTTTATTTTATTTTATTTATGATAATATTTACTCGCTTTCAGTATGCTTTTGGCACTCCCCGAAGCAAATGATATAAATAAGTAATTTTACAAATTACTTTTTTGTTTACGTGTTTGGTGGATTCAGAATTTAAAAAAAACTATATTATTGTTATTATCTTTTAAAAATTTAGAATACATAATACTTACCATTTAAACCAACACAAACGAATTATGCAAACTAATGTTGATAAACGGCTCGATTTAAGCCGATTTTTTAAAAAGCTAATTCAATGTTTTATTCAGAAAAATATAATGCAGGAAAGGTGCTCAATGGGTATTATAGCCAAAATCGGTTGGGGGGGATAATAACCAAATTATAGCTGAAAGATATTCATTGAGTATTTACATAGCTATCTACTTAATATTTAAATATTTCCTAACCCTCGAGATATCACTAATACATGTCCAAACATTTATGACATTTATAAGAAAAATCTTCAGGCTTGCGTAATATTTTTCTAGGTAAAATATTGAGTTGGCTGTTTTTAAAAATCGGCTCAACTCGAGCCGTTTAACTTCACTAGTTACAGCCTGTCTATAACATCTTTGTGCCTTTAATGTTTTGATTTCAAGTTCCTGAAATATTAATTTACAATGTTTCTACTAGGTCTTGAAATTTCGGGCTTTCATAAAAATTTAAAAATTCTGCATTCCTTTGCAAACATTATTCGATCGAAAGAGGGCCGAAAAATTAAGACCCCAAATGGTCCCGATTTTTAAAAAGATAAATTTTAAATCAATTAACCAGTTTGATGAAGCATCATTAGTTTCTCATAAATATTATATTTCTTGATTTTTCTTAAACTAAATGGACTGACAGATACAGCTTTTTTTCGATTTTGACTTCGAATTCAGCCCTGAAAATAAACACTCATTAAATTTTCTTTCCTGCCCATATCTGTTATTTTTTCTAATATTATTCTTATTTGCTATTTTAACTAAAAATTTTAAAAATAGAATTATATAAATTCTTTCTCATCATAAATAAGAATTTAAAGGATAGAAAACAACATTTTGTATTATAGTTAATGTATGTCTATGATGTTAGGTTTTTGAAAGAAGAAAGAAACAAAAATTATATAATATTCTCAAACAAACATAAATTGGGAATTTAAATAAAAAATAAATTATAGAAGGGGATTTTAATTTTTTTTGAGATAATAAAAAAAATCATTTTAAATTTAATTATAATTTTTAAAAAGCAGTCTGCGATAAAATAAAATCTTATTATATTTTTAATTATTTATAAAAAATATAAAATGTATAAATAATTATTATATATCATGAAACCTCTATAAAGTGACCTCTCCAGCGAGGTAACTAAACCACCGTTCTAAGATTATAAAAAAAAGAGTAAGCGACCCACATTATAGAGGTTTTTACTGTATCAATTATTATATATAAGATAAACAAATGAGATTACTTTTTGTATGTGGTAGTAGTAGGAAGATTTACAAAAGAACAAGGATACATTTTGAAAATTTTATTTTATGTGGAATAAAAAAAAGTACTAGACACAATTAAAATTAATTTGTTTTATATATTTTTTTAATACCATTTTTCGTAAACCAAATTTTTTTGGCTAAAAATAACATAAAATGTATTATATATTATATAAATTTCTAAAATAGAAGGTTCAATGAATCCATGAGTGAAGGCGGGAGGGGGGGGGGGGAGAAAACACCACATATTTTATACCAAAATTTGTTTCACAAATAAAAATAATATCATTCATTTCGTGTAAAAAAAAATTGGTGGTAGAAGAAAAAAGAAACATTTTCAGTTTATTTTTGCAAGATAAAACCTATAAATAAAATAAATGCATAATCATCTCTTTGGAACACTTCAGTTCGGTCCGCCCCAGCTAAACTGTTATTTAAAATAATCTAATCAAACTCGTGGTCATTTATAAGATGTTTCAATATATTAATGTAGACTCATATCTCCAAACTCTACATTTCAAAACTAATTTATGGTTCTAGAGAAAGATTTGCTACGACATATTTTTTGCAAATGAAAATAGCAATTTGGAGCAAGCGCGCCAAAAATCCAGTTATTAATTACTGAATTTTTTATTATGACAAATCGATTTCGAAGAAAATTTAGAGTAGCGTTAATTTTTTATGTGTTTTATTAAAATGTTATATAGCGTGTATCCTTATATATAAAAAAAATTGATGATTTTGAGAAACGTATGCTACCTAGTCGGTTCAGTAAGTGTCTCCCAATTCGAAGGTTGTGGGCTCGAATCCAGCAAGGGTCATGTTTTTTAAGCCAATTTGGTGGTTCCGTCCTTGGGAGAATGATACATAGTATATCGGACTCTACCACGTAATTCCGTCAAATATATATTAAAAAATTAATGTGCCTTATCGTATTTTATTAAATTTTGGTCGTTGTTTAGCAAGTGGTCTAACGTGATATATCATTACCCGAAAATTTTCAGACCATAATATGTAAAGTGAAAATAATAAAAACACGAAATAGATTTGAGAATAAATTTTATTATAATTGGCGCAACAGGATCTATATTTTTTTTAAAGCTGATCAAATAAGAAATTAAATCTAATTATTTACATTATTCGTAAATGATAAGGAAAAATACCTAATTCGACATCGCATGAATCTTAAAAAATTTAGATATTGGTTTAAAAAGTGGCAATGGGTTTAAAGAAAATATAATAGTGCGCACACATTGAGCGTTTCAAACCAAACGCAACATTTTAAATAAGTTCCTAAAAAAGGATTTGTCTTTTGAAAATCATATTATCGTCTGCGTTTTTATTTCTTTAATTTCTAAATATTCCTTTTTAGGATATAAGTAAGATATTTATATTACATTTTATATAATATTACACAGCGAATAATAATAAAAAGTAATGATAAAGCAAACCTATTTGCGTTTTTTAAAATGGTTGCTAACGCCAAACTCTAATTTTACCAATTTGCACGAGGTCATTTGGAATGCATTATTTGCGCTTGAAACGCAGTGTTTGAAACTCAATTTGTGCGCATTATAAATGAGTTAATCCAATACTAAACTTATATAGGATATGTTAGACTGGACATTTCTTAACTCGATAAAAGGATATGTTAGACTGGACACTTCTTAACATTTAAAATACGAGAGGTAATAGTAGTATTATTAAAATACATACAAGTGTTAGATTTGTATTACTTTAAAACTATACATAATTATAATCGCACAAGGGATTTAATGCTTTTATTTATTTTATTAATCAATGAACATAAATATTGTATAATGTATATAAAATATTTTTTTCTTTTACTTATTATTTAAATGGTGTCGTGGCCAGATATAATAAATTATATTTCAGATATAAACAAAATTATAGCAAAGCTATAAAGGTCATATAGAATATGGAATAGAAAAAGGAAAAGGAAATAGTAAATGTATCTTATGGATGGCAATGAAAAGTTAAAAAAACATAATTTATAAATCAACTTATTTTACATTATTTTATATCTGTTTCTGTGCAATAAACGAAGAAGAAGGAAGAGGGAGGGATTATGGATAAAATTTTAATTTGTTAATAAAAATATGATAATATAATCTTATATTTATGAATAGATAGATATAAAATTTTAAAATTAAATTATTATTAACCGCAATTATAAGAATTAATCAACTCGTGTGAGTTTCGAGTTATTAAATAAAATACTTCGCATGAACTTTAATAAAATAAGTTTAAAAAATTTACATCATAGTTTAATTTTTTTTATGCATATAAACATAGTATAAATATAATAATTTATAAAAATAATATTCATCGCGGAAATTTATAAAATATGACATTTATGATAAATGGTTTTATTTTATATTAAAAAGAAAAAAGTATTAATAGAAATAGTGAAAAAATTTAGAGTTTTATAAAATAAAATATGACTGCTTCCAGGGAATTAAATAAAATTACAAGTCTTCCAGCTATATCTGTGCTAGAATCTTGCAAGATATATAAAAATTTGGCCCGAGCCTGCTGGTAAAAAGAAACTTTATGATAACCAGTAGTGCTGCAAAGTCGCTCCATTTGAGCTTATTTTTAAAAACGCTAACTCAATATTTTATCCAGAAAAATGCTAGATTCTGTTCATAGATGCAAAGGCTTGGGAATTTATTAGCGAAATCTCGAGGAGCTAATATTTTTCTCTCTAAAATCACTAATAACCAGTTCAATGTATTGTATTTTAATTTGTAAATCTATATTAATAATTATTTTTGGTTTCGAGATAATTTATTGATGATCTCTCATGGGCCGGGCTCGGGTCGACCCCGCGGAATTCTAGTCTATTTATATCAGAGACCTTATTTTAAATTTTTAAAATATACTCAAGCTGGGCCTGAAAAATTTTTTTTTAAATGGCCGGGCCGTATTTTTTTAAAAAATTTATACAACATGAATTATTATATTTGTCAATTAGATATGGTTATAATGATTATATATAGTTATGAATATAATGTTTGGTGAAAATTAACACTAGCTAACACTTATAGTATCTATTACATAATATAATTATAGTTTTCCTACCATGGAATAAATACGCTAAGGATAAAACACATTATTATATAATAATATGTTATTTTTTATTAATTAAAATATCAGTTTTATTTTTTTTATAAATACAATTAATATAGTATATTCTCAAAATATTATTTACACAAATTTTTTATAGTATCAATTTGTAATATACTGAATATCTGTTTAGAATAATAAAAAAATAAAAATATGTAGTAATGTTGTTAAACGGCTCGTTTTGAGCCGATTTTTAAAAACGGCTAACTCCGTTTTTTATGCAGAAAAATATTATGCAAGCCTGAAAATTTTGCTCATAGAAGGAGCAAAGGTCTAGACACATAGTATCGAAATTTCGAGGCTTAGTCAATATTTTTCTGGCTAAGATATTGAGTGCCGTTTTTAAAAATCGGCTCAAAACGAGCCGTTTAACAAAATTAGCTAATAAGCTTGATTATTAAATGATAATACACGCCGAAAAATATGATAAAATACCAAATAGGTGAATTTTTTGCATATACCAGGTCAAATACAATTTTAAAAAATTCCGAGCCGGGCCCAAAAAAATTTTTTTCAACTATCCGGGCCGGGCTTAAAATTTTTAAACCCGAGCCGGGCCGGGACGTAAAAAATTTTTGAGAAAAAAATCCGGGCCGGACCCAAAATTTATTAATCCAGGCCGGGCCGTGCAAATGGTACCTCTGCAGGTATCTGATTTATATTTAATGTTTTTGGTTGATTTTTCAAAAATTATAAAGATAGATGTATTAGTCTAGGGTAAGTTGAGTCTATAATAGAACTATGCCTGGCCTATGTTTTTAGGCTCGACCCGATCAGACAGAAAAAAATCGTCCTACATGTCCAAAAGAATTTTTAAAGATTCGACTCCTATCCGAAGTCTTATTTTGTAACTAAATCCAAACAATTAGGTGTTTGGCCGAAATCCTAATCCTGTCGAATGAAAAATTTGTAATCAACACCCTGCCTAACTGAGTTATGAAAGAATGCCCGTCAAGTCTAATTGTTCCAAGTTGGACCGAATCTATGAGGTCCGTACAAAGGTCTTGTATATGTGAGGTGTGGCAAGGATTGATTAATAATTTTTTCGGAAGGGAGGTAACGGCAGTTTTTCCTGGGATTCGAAAAGTATAGATAAGATAAAATTTCTAAAAAACTTTCATTTATTTGGGAATGATAATGAAATAGATTTTAGTAGTATTTATACTATAATAATTTATAAACTATCCTTAAAGCAAATTGCATCTTCAAACATAAAAATTAATATTAAAAAAACGAGACAACTGAACTCGTAAAAGAGAAAATATTTTGCCAACTATTCGCGATCATCCAATCCCATAAAACGTTTTAACAACATTTTTACCATATTTATATTATTTATAGTAATGTAATATGAAACACTTAGAAAACAAGCTTTCCAATAAAAATTGAGAATTTTGTGATATCATTATTTTTATTATTATACTTATAAGCTTTTCTGCCCTATATTTATCATTTAACATGCATTTTATTACACAATTATTTTTTTAAATGTTATATAATTCTAAAGGTTTCGATTTTATTATCGATAAAATAATATTTTTAAGATAATGGAGTAAATTTTACAAAATAATTATAAAAATGGGGAAGAATTTATTGACATTATATCACGATAACATCGTGAGAACAATAGGCCCCCGAGGACAGAAGGGACATTATAGGAATAAAATATAATGATACAAATTTCCAATAACTAAAGAAAGACAAAAATAGGATGATGAACGAGGTTAAGGTGATTTTTTTTGGTGAAATAAAAATTATAAATAGATCTACGTATAAAGAAAAAAAATGCAATGAATTATGCCATCTTATCTTACTGCCAAGGATATAGGACCATTTAATAATAAAAAAATAACCAATATATTTTAATAACTAATTTTGGCAGACAGGATAAATTATATAACCCATATAAATTTTACGATGTCAAATATTAAATAAATAATAAAATCTCGATTGTCGTCTTTTTCGCATTTTTTTTATTTTCAAATAAAATATATAAAATAAAAATGCCGTTTTTAATAGTTCGCAAATCATGACATGAAAAATATTAATCCACTTTGCTTCAGTTATAGAAAGTTGTCATAAAAACAAAAACTGTAGATAACGTTTATTTTATACTTATTAAAGCAACTCTTCTAGCAAAGCACTTTTTATTTTGACTTCATTATGAGACAATCTATTAGGCCAATTCAAAAGAGATTATTATCGCCCACATTCCAAACCATCTTGAGCCCAGAAATTTATTTCATGTCAAAACAAAATCAAATTTAAGATATTTATTTTATAAAATTTGATCGTATTATTTGGAATAACACAAAATAAAAATAAACTAAAATAATGATTACCAATACCATTATTTATTGTTATTGTATTTTTGTAGTTGTTTATTTGGATTGTAAATTTTACTATTAAATATACAAAAAATGGGAGCCAATATCGCAGCTATTATTTTTGTGAATAGATTGCAAAATTTAAATTTTTAATGATAATAAATAATTTGGGTTCAATTTTTGTTTTATAATAGATAGATGATACCAAACAAATAGTAATATTAATGTCTGCCATTAAATTTTGATTTAAAATATTTATTCGCATTTTAAGAGATTTTGTTTGGGCAAATTTTAGAAATTAATATTTTAAGCGAAATGCATCTACAAATATAATATACAATGAAAAGTTAATGCAATTAAGATAGCCTAGCTATCTTTTTCCAATATTTCCACACCATAATAATTGATTAGAAAATTTATGGACGTCTGTAGCACAAGAAAAAAAGATAATAATGATTAATAATCTATAAAATATATCGATCCATGACTTTAAAAAAAACAATTTAATCATTTTATTCGGCAGTGGTAAGGAAAGAAGATTATACAATAAAAAAAATATTACGTTTTTAGGGTGCCTGAAGTCATTAATTCGGTAACCAATACAATGAATTTGCGCTTGGGCATGAGGACTTCCCAATAATCGTAAAACCTGACAATGTTAGGATGTTGCAAATTTTTGAGCATTTCCGCTTCCTCCCTGAATCGCTGCCTCTCCGCTTTGGATAACTTCTTTTCCTATTATAGATAGATTTAGATATGCAAAAAATAGGATATAATAAGATAATTGAATTGCGAATTAACATATAATTGCGATTTCCACCATTGCGAAATGATAAAATTAATTTGAATTTATTGATTATCTTTAGAAAAAAACTCAATATGATTTATAAAATGTTTTGAAATAAGATATAATTTCTGCACCCCATAATCTTGTTATTAAATACTTATGGGGGAAGGACATCTAGGAATCGTATGAAATACTGTTCCACTTTAATAAGTTAGAAATTATAATTTAAAACCTACATATACCCGCTGAGGTGAATGATATAATGCGAAAGATAGTATTAGGTATATTATATCGATTTTCCTAGCCATAATTTACTGCACCCCCCCCCCCCCCTATTCATCTCTTCGAAAACGTATTCTTAATATTTTTTTTAAAAAAATAATGTCCCCGTTCCATTCCCTGGCTTCTCAAAAATAAACCCATTCAAATACGAATAATATTAATCGATTCGTATTTAATTCTTTCGAACGAATCGAATAATTTACTATTCGTATTCATATGAATAGTAAAATATATTATTCTTAATCGATTGGTATTATTATGAAAAAATATCGAATTTTTGAGCCTACTCTAAAATATGGCATTTATTGTTCCCGAAACTTTTATGGAAAGTTCAAAGCCAATGATTTTGAGTTTGACCCTAATTCAATTTCGATCAAAAATGGAGTTTAGATGCAATCCTATAACAATCTAGCCATGTTGTTTAGATTTTAGAATAATATCTTTTTTATAACAATATAAAGAAATATTTTATGTAATTGATAGAATAGATTTCGTAAATATGTAATGTAACATCTGTAAAACTGATAATTTAATCATTTTTTTTTAAAAATTAATTATTTATTAAATTCTTTTTATAATAATAGATAATATATAATTTTTTTTAATCTTTTAAAATATAAATAAAACTCTAGATAATTGATTTAGATAATCAATAAATAAAAATAATCTTATTACATAATAAAACCCTGCAATGAAGACCAAGCCACCACTTATGTAGTAAGTAGCCCGTTCTTCCATGTCGATATTCAATCTGAATGAGTTACTAAAATCATTTTATAATAGTAAGTACTCTTAACAAGGTGCATATGAACGATACGCTCTTCAGTGGTCAATTTAATAATGTTCACTGCTTAATATTAATATATGAAGCTAAATGCATGATTAATAACCAGTTGGTCAGATTTTGTTACTCATATAATAATGAATAATATTAGCTATGAATGATATAATATATTTTAAAAAAATTGAAACAGGCGTAGTGTTGCTTTGAAATATATAGATAATATAGGCATAGGCAGCCGACTTTTTTTTAGTTTTGTAAAATATATTATTTTATTAAAACATTAAAATAATATGCAAGATGATTTTAAATTTAATTATAAATATATTTGCATAAATTTCTTGATAAATAAATAAATATTATACATTATTTTATTAAACTATAGAGCCGCTGCATATCAAACGCCAGCCACCAAATATTTTAAGGGCGACAGAATGGCGACTCGGTGTAAAAAGAGTTTTTATTCATACAAATTCTGAACGTAAATTAAATTCTTGCTTTCTAATTAACTAATAAAAATATAACCGGCATGCTAAATTTAGGTTGGGGGGGGGGGAGATGTTACAAAAGTCAACGTAGAAAGTAACTTCACTAGGGTAGGTCGAGTTGTGTGGAATGCTGACATTTTAAATCCTAGGTGATATGAAAACATTACTCATGGTTCTAATAGTCATGAACCGCTCTTAAAACTTGCGCCGTTTTTTAAAAAATCCAACTTCACATAATTTAAAAATAAATATTTATCGAATAAATGAAATCATTGTTTATCAGAGCAAAATTAAATGCTAAGACAAAAATTGGAGATAGTTTAGTCTAGACTTTTATTAAATGATTAGAGACGCTTGCAATTTTTTCTTCTTCGGATATGCTTAAATCAATCCGCTATTTGAAAACAATTTAAAGACGATATATGGAAAATAAAGTTATATTTATAATGACTAATGAAAATAAAGCACGTCTTTGTATAACATATACTAAACAATGCCCTAATTTATTTATATTATTTTTTAATAATTACCTTACCCACCCTTTTAACCTTACCCCACCCTTTTAACCTTACCCCACCCTTTTAACTTTACCCTAACCTCGCGGTTGATCTAAGGAAAAAACTGGCCCCATCAGAGATCTATCCAGGATCTTGATGAGCATTATAAGATGTTTTTTTTTGACTTATAAGGATAATTCTCAAACAAAGTTCTGAACTACTCATTATTCTTTCTAATTTAAGAGATAATAATAAGAAAATATTAACGGTTTATGCTAATCATCTTGAACTTGAAACTATTAATATTTATTTATAAATAATAAAATTAAATATCTTCCGTTCATAATAATAATCACAATTTGTTTCTGAATAAAGGTGTGTAAGAAATGAAAGGCTTCCAAATAGAACATCCGATAGGCACGATTTTTCAATTATGGAATTAAAAAAGTCGTTTTAAAGGAGTTCCTTTAAGCCATTAATTCCTGAAGCTATAGATTAATCAATATTATTGGTAAATTATTGATTATCGATTAACCATATATAATAGCAGTTCTCCTTTATCCAGAGACGTCACTTTAGAAGTTTCGCAGTATCGCATTAAAATTAAATTTGTTCAAAATTGAATCAGTTTTGCCGATCCAAAACTTTTATTTGCCGGTACCAAACCCTCCTTAAAATATTTTTGTTTGATAAGATATTTTTAAGTGTTATTAACATTCCAAGATATATATGTATTAAAAAATATCTGTCAATCTTGTGCCAACAAAATATTTACATTTATAACCAGGTCATTTTAAAATCGGCAAAAAAATAGGTGCAACCCTAATCGTTTGAAGTACAATTTTTTTTCAAAGCATATAAAATTAGAATTCTTCACGGCCCATAGGAATTAGTTTAAGGTAGCGGTAGTTCTTTCACAACTTTACAGATCATTTTAATTTTTTTTACCACATCCATTTAATTATCTAAAAAAACAAGGATTATGTAAAATATATACCTTTTTATTTAAAGCGAGAGAAAAGGAGTAATTAGATATTTAGGAATGAAAATTAAGGGAAAGATTAGAGCAATATTTACTATATATAAATAACCTATAATAAATAATAAAGAAAATATGGTTAAGTAATTGACACTCAATTTTATTTTCGGATAATTTCATCTTTTTTTTTACTTTGTCTAGATTCGCAAAAATAATTTGCCATCTCACTCTTATTGTCTTTCAAACATCGTATTTATTTATTTAATAAATATTTATTTATAACTTAATATTTAAAATATTATAATATAAATGAGGAGATTATATATAATATAGATGAATTATACAAATATAATTTATCATCGTCCTACATCTCTATTTCCACAAATAAAAAAAAGACCGGAGGTGTTAAAGACAAAACTTCAAAAAAAAAATTTTATGATAAATTATGCTAGTCACACCCAACCAGAACAGAATAGGTATAAAAACGAATGAATGAATGCGTGATTGTATCATTTTTAAGAGAAATAAGGATAAAATATACAAAAAAATATTATACCTACTAGACGATTTAATAAAGTTAGAAAAAAATAAATATTTTATGAAAATAAAAAGGTAATAAATAAGTCGATACTAGGTTTATGATATACTAAAGGTCATTTTTTATGTGTAGTGGTGGCCTTTTGTAAAAAAATAATAATTGAAAAGCAGAATAATTTGAGTTTAGATAATTTTATTAAGACCAAAATTTTAAATAATATAAGAGCAAGGCTGGACTTATCATTCGAGTCAAACACAAACTTGGAACAAGAGTTAATTTTTGAGATAATAGTGCTACATTTATTTTGAAAAATACCGATTAGCAATATCGCATTCCTTTTTAAAATATTTTTTCATATAAAATATTAATTTTTTTTATGCTATTAGTTCAAAGTTAGATGATAAATAAATAAAATTCTAAATATCGGATCTGTAAAAAAAAATTTGTGAATTGGTATAGCCCTAAAATAAATATACTATTATAAGTAGATCGGCAGTCTTGGAACCGGAAAATCTGAAAATTCAGATCGGACTTTTAAAAAAAAATTAAATAGGCTGGGCTGGGACAGGGCAATATAAAATAAACTTTAATTACACCAATTATCTAGTTGGAAGAATCTTCATAATATAATGGACTTTTTAACATTTATATATAAAATAAAAATATAATCTTTACTTATTTCGTTTTGGTGTTATTTTTTTTATCTATCTATCTTAATATGAGTTGTAAATTTTCAGCTAATTTTCAATATATTTAAAATATGATGGAAAAAAATAAAGAAATTAATGCTTTATAACTGCATTTATTGAATAAATATCACTAAACCTAATATAATAAAGATCAAGCCTTTAAGGCCAACTCCAATTTAAAACAGCCCAAATTTTTTTAAAAAAGATTTTTGTATACCAGTCTAAATTTAGTCATTTTAGATAATTTTGGCTGTATTTTATAATATGTTTCAAGAGAAAATAAATTTATAAAATAGTTATAATATAGATACTTTAAAAATAAATGCATAAATTATTTTATCGCAAAACATATTCCTCTGATCTGATCTGAATCAAAGAATGTATTGATTTGGATTATCTATTATTTGATTAATAATTATTTTATTATAATATTGTAAGCTATGTATGCATTCCATTCATTCTCTAATTTTTTATAAATAAATTTGAGTGTGTTATTATTTTTATTTGTTTTAATTTAATTTTAAAGAATGATTAATTTAAAAAATAAATGAAAAATTAATAAAAATCTCAAAATTTAAGGTTAAATGAATGTAGACATGGGTTAGTCCTTATTATTTTTTTTATTTTATTAATAATATTTATTTTTTTTAAATTAGATCATAGTTTTGTTATATAATTAATTAAAAATAATGTGTTTAATATATAAAAGTAAAATTATTTAATAAAATATAAATTTAATTTATAGGTTAATGAAGATGTATTGGTAATATATAATCATAAAAACTTTAGATTTCTTAGGTAAATAAAGTATTTTCATTAAAATAAAATGAAACCATCAAAAGATATTTTTTAAATAATATAAAATATGCATAGATAAAATAAAATCACTTTGTGTAATTGTTATTGCATAACATAAAGAAAATTTTAATATAATTAGTCTAGAATAATAATATAATATTGTTAGAGTCCCAGCCAGGCGCATAACAAATGGGGGGGAAAGGGGGAAATTTCCCCCCCCCATCGCAAATTTGACTATTTTCATAAATATCATTTTAAGCTAATAAAAATTTTACCCCCACCCCCCAGAACCCCCCCCCCACAAATCAAAATTTTACAAATATTTGAATATCAATTTTCCAACATATTATTCAAAAATATTAATAAAATGTAAAAATATTTAGTCAAAGAGATTGAAATCAAACGATAATTTATAAATAAGGCTGAGCATGAAAAAAAGTAATGTGTCGTTAGCAGCGATATCATTATTGAATTCAATTGATCAATCAGAGTTTATCATTGCTGCTAGTTGCATCAATAAATTATTTTTAGCTCACTACTTTGTAGAAATTTACAAAAACCAAATTTAGATTTGGTTCAAGTTATTGATTTGGCGGAAAATATACATGAACAGGTAGATACAATAAGAATGAATGTAGATAAATATTAAATCGAAGGCTAAATTTTATGATATAATACTAATTAAACCTCGTCTAGCACCTAGGCCATTTTTGAGATGAAAATAAATATTGGCTCAACTGAAGAATATTCTAAAATATCCATTTTCATCCCATTCTTAGATACTTTTTTATAGCAAATAAAAGTAAGGGTTTTAGATAAAAAACAAGTCTTTAGCAATCTTCAAGTTTTATTACCCAAAGATCCTTCTTCATTTTCTAATGCCACTATTGGTAAAATTAAATATTTAGAAAAATTTTATTCCTATGAGATTGATACTGAAATAAATTTAATCAGTGAATTCGAATTGTGGTATAAATATTTATACGTTTAGCTATTTTACCTGAGCATGCTATTGATGCGCTCAATCGGTGTAAAGAAACCTTGGCTCAATTTCCTAATATTTCGAAGTTGTTTTATATTCTTGCATGTTTGCCTATTACAACATGTACGAATGAAAGGACTTTTTCCAACTTGAGAAGGTTGAAAACATATTTACGAAGTACTGAATCTCGGCTAAATGGGTTAGCTCTGTTAAATATACACAGAGATTTGGTTCCAAAGACAAACGAAATAATTAAAAATCTTGTATTTGATAAGAAGTTAAAAAAAACTTGTTAATTTAATTATTTTCTAGTCAATATTTAAACTACTATTAGTATTTTCAATAAAAAAAATTATATTCTACTTATATTGTATGAGAATTTAAGCTGAGGCTAGTTTTTAAAGCAAATTTTATAAAAAAAATGACATTACACTTTATTTCAACTTTACATATAAATAAACCATTACATTTAAAAAAACTTTATTAAATATAATATACCTAACTTGAAATAATAAAAAAGAGGCTTGTAATATCCTATCCATAAGCACGAATTAGTAAATAATAGTTAAAAATAGAAATATAATTATTATTAAATTATTCATAATTTAATAGAATAGCTAAATAAGACCTGGCCGAAGGCCGGGGGAAAGCTGGCCGAAGGCCAGGTAAAAGGGGTGTGGGGGCGAAGCCCCCAAAAAAATTTTTCCCCCCTATAAGAAAATCCTGGATACGCCACTGGTCCCAGCTATAATTAAGAGTTATATAAGTATATGATAGCAAAAAAATTTAGGTACATTATTTTCAATATATATTAATATCAAGTCATTTAAAAGCAAAACTTTAACTGGAAGTTTTATTAAAATTAAAAGCTTTTATCACCTTATATCTAAAGGCACAGAATGGTATAACTAGTGTTGTTAAAGAGTTCGATTTGGGTCGATTTTTCAAAATGGCCCGATTAAGATTTTAGCAAAAATAATATTATGTAGGGATTGAGATTTGGCAAATAGATGCCCAAGGATTTCTACAAGCTATGGGCAAAATCTTTAGACTTGCATAATATTATTTTAAATATAATCTTAATTGGGCCATTTTTAAATTGACCTGAATCTGGCTTTTTAACAACACTAGGTATAACAACCTATAATATAGGCACTTTTTGGTGTTTTAAAAAAGGATCTCAGAAGAATATAAAACAATATATTTTAATAAAAGAATTTTTTGTTTAAATATTCAGAATCAGTGATGTTCTAACTTTCTGCATTTAGATAGAAATAAAATTGTTCAATTTAACCCTAAATCACTATACATTGCTCTATTAGAAACATATAGTTTTCAATAATTTTGATTTTCATTATTTCCCACCATTCATATCAAAAAATTTTATTGTTTTTTTAATTTCATAGTTTTAAGAATAAAAATAATTCCTTATTAGACACATGTTTAATAGTAAAGTTATATTTTTTAATAAAATTATATTGAGGATAATTCTGATTAATTTTCTCTTTGTGAAATGGGACTTTTTTAGAATTTGATATAAAGGGGAATGATTTTGATTGAAATTTACCTTTGATTATAACCTTGCCATTAAAATAGATTAAATAAAATATGCCCATATTTGGCAGAGATGGTCATTCTTTATTTCATATTTTATCTAGTACAGCATTTATTTCCTATATGCCAAACCCAAAAAAGTTGCCCAGGTATTATCAACAATTCATGCTAAACCAAGATTTCCATAGGCAGCTCAACTTAGTTATCTAATATGGGTGCATGGAAAATATAGATGGCATATCATATAGCTTTGAAGTGAAGTATTCCTTTTCTATGGTAGAAGCTCAAAGCAATGAATTATAACAAATGAATGAAAAATCAGGTCTCCTGAATTGTCAATTTTGCCATTTTAAAACATGTAAATGACAATTTCCATGCCAAAAATTTTGAAAAGAATATCAAACAATTTGTTGTGCCAATTGTAATATTATGAGTATATTTTAATAATTATTATATAAAAATTTAAACCCAGTTATTCTCCTGAAATTTAATAAATGAAATACATGTTTAGTAATAACACTATTAAAACATTTGATTAGTGAATTAGGGTTAAATCATGATATGAACATTTTAAAATATATATATACATAGTTAAAAATTTTACTTGTAACTCACACCATGCTACATAAACCCCATTTTCAGTGTCTAGGCCTCTATAAACTGTTTTAAAAGATCCTCTGCCAACTTCTTCATCAAATTTAAGAAATCTTCCATCTGGTGAATATGCTACAGCTTTTTCCTCTAACTCTTCACAAGAATCTTTTAATTCTGATACTTTATTTCCCAATTTTTCTACATCTTGAATATTACTACAAATTAATGTTTGGTCCTTTTTTGCTTCTTTTGTATCATTATATATTTCACATATATTTCTAGAAAATATATAATCAATTGATACATTGCTAATTTTGATAGAACCATTTGCAGGTTGAAATTTATCATTAATAAGTGTTAGACTAGTGCTTTTACTTCTTTTATTGATTTTAGTACCAATTGAATTTGTAATTTTTGGTGATAGGTCAAACCTTACTGGTCTATTCTTTTGATTTAATATAGGTGATAATGAAGAATTTCGGTATATTGATTTTGTTTTGTTTTTTAGTTTCTTTAATGAGTTTGATTTAGAATTACTTTCTTTCTTTCCATCATCAGTAAGAAATATAACATCACGAAATTTATATTTATGTCTAAGATTATTTTTTGGAATATTATGCTGATTATCAACTTGCTTGTGAGTATCATGTTTTTCGAGTTTAATTTTTTCCACTTTTTTGCTAAAAGGCTTAGGACTTAAAGATTGTGATTTAATATCAGGAATAAGTGGATCATCCTCAAACACATCCGGAGAATTTATGATTGAGAATTTATAATTCCTACCCTTTTTCATATTTTATATGTTAGAAATTACTAAAAAATTAAAATTTATTAAAATTTCTCATCGCAAATTCATTTATACTAAAAAAATTATTTACTAAACGTTAAAGAAACAAATCACAATATTGATATTTTTTACAAACAAAATATTTTATATAAAGTGAATGGGAATTTTTAATATTGAAAATTTAGATTATATGTAAAATTTTTATGTATAATTTTTAATTTATCATATGGGTAAAATTATTTTTATAAATATGAGTTGTATTTCTTAAACATTGCATTTTCAATATATATTTGTGAGCGTCATTTTATTATTCATAATATATTATAATCAGATATTGATATTCGAAAAAATCTATCTTTTATAACTAAATTTAGCGAAATCATATGAGAAACATATCGATATCATTTGTAACGTTACATGTTTGTGGGCAATCCACGCAACCGAAAACTATTATTTGAACGTTTGTGGGCTGAATAAAAAGTGATTAGGTCCAGTGGCGTCGCTAGCCTTTACAATCTCAGGGGGCTCAACTAAAAAAATTTTTATGGGGGCTAAAATTAAGGGGCTAAAATTAATTAACTCTGAACAATTATTCTGATTTTCATATTTTGTCATTTATTATATTATGCATACAAAATAAACTGGCATATAAGAAACCACATAATGCAATAATATAATTCTTAGCAACTTACATTGACAAAAGGTTATCAAACTAGTATAACTCTCTGTTATCATTTTAGACAATGTTTTATACGATAAACTAATAAGGAAAATTTTTATAGGCCTCTACTAAATCAACAATTTTTGAAGAAAAGAGTATAAACGACCAATCCAAATCATAAAACTATATGGTGGTTAGAGCTTCCTTTTAGATGACATGATGGAAGCTAGATAAATAATCGAGAAAATTATCGTGAGATATTAAATTTCTAAAAGATTATCTTCCATTTTAAATGATATATAAACGACTACACAGTTGACCATTATTGTTTATCTAAAATATGCAATCATATTCTCTCAGCCGTTGTTGTAATAATCTTAAATTACATAGCGTCACAAATAATATACACTGGTTAATTTGCAGTAATAGCCATGACACTCACGATGTAAACTAATATCAGAATTTATTAAGTTGGATAAATTGATAAAATAAAAACACTAAAAATAATTATGCAAATATATTGAAGCCTGGAGTTATTTACACGGCAATGCCATATTAGAAATGAAACATTTTCTAACTATAAAATAAGGACCAGAATGATATGATGAAACAATTAAGATTTAATATATTGTCGATATTATATCTTAAAATAATAGTAGTTTGTAATAATATCAAAAATATACTTGTATTAAAAATTTAATTCAAAACTGTTTTTCGAAAAAGAAAAAAATAGAAAAGAGAAGAGAAGAAAAGAAAAGAAAAGATAAATTTATTACATCTATTGCAGAATGAATAATGAAATGTCTATTAAAATTATTTATAACTAAATAGATGGCGTTAAATACTTAAATGCATATTGTTACTATATTTATTATCAAAACTATTTATTAGTAAAATTTATTATAATATTAACTGTAATATATTATATAGTTGTCAAATACGTCTATAAAAGTGGCATTTTATCTAATATTTTAAAACCAACTGTATATAATAGAGGATTATAAACTATATCTCTATTTATTTACTTTTTATAAAGTAATCTCTTATACTTATTTCAATGACATATGTCATTGACTTATTTGGATCTTGAAAATATTTTTAGGAATAGGTATGATAATTAAATTTAAAAATAAATATACAGTTGATTAGTCATTTTGAACTCGGCTAATTACAATATTAAATTTGTTAATTTTGAAATAATATATGATTATATTTATTTAATCAGGGTTATATAATAATTTAAATAATAAAAGTCAATTAAACTTCAACTCTTAAAGCTAAACTAATATTTAGTGGGTTATTGATATTATATTTTTAATACAGAATTTGATTGCAAGCTGACATAGTGAAAATAAAATTTATATGTTTTAATCTAATCTAATAATTAAAATGGTATTCATTTAATAAAAATTTAAATAGTCTTATTAATTTCTAAATAATAAAATTAAATCTATATATTACTTAATGGAATTATAAAAGAAATCATTAAGGGAGCTATCAAAAAAATTCATTTTTAGTTCAAGGGGATATTAAGTAGCCATTAAAAAAAAAATTTGCTTCAGGGGGCTCTTCAAATTTTTCAGGGGGCTCGAGCCTCTGCTCCCCCCCCCTGGCGACGCAACTGATTAGTTTAAGAGCATAGCTCCAGCCTCGCAACTGACCATCATGTTTTCTTATAACTCTATTCACATAATTAACAATATATGAATAAATAAAACTTTTTGGCTCTTGCGAATCTTTACCCTTATATTTTAAATCGTGATTTTTTTATATATTTAGCGACTTCATAACAAATATCTGGTCTTATCCAAAAAAAATTGTGAATATTATTTTTTAGAATTTAAATTATATTAAAAACCCCTTGGGTCACACCATAAAGGGGATAGAAGTAATACATCTGGACAGAACACCTATAGCTTTTATAGCAACCCAAAAATAAGGCGGAAGTTCATTCATTCCTGGATATGGTAAATTATTACCATAGATTTATAGGAGAATTTGCTAAGATAGCCTCTCCGTTATATCATTTATCAAAGAAAGGCATACATTTTGAATAGGAAAAATCCTAACAAAATGCCTTTTAATTAATGAAACAATAAATTGGTGATTAATTTATTTCAATAATGATTTACAATTTTATCTATTGACGCGTCTAATAAAGGTGTCTGCGAATCATTATTACATTTAATAAATGATATAGAAAACCCTATTTTATTTTTCTCAAGAATTTTTCATGATGTTGAAACTCGATACTAAAACTTCAAACAGTTCTGTGTTAACGCACAAACCAAATATATTTTGGTACCACCAAATCATTCTAGCTCTAATAAGCAGACTTAGAGGATGATGACCATTGTTAAAATAGTTAAAATACGCCAAATAAGACTAGTTTTGCAGAATATATGACCTCTTGTTGCCTTCCATACCAGGTCTTTTCTGACCTGAGGGCTAGCACCTTCTTCAAATCTACTGGACTTTGGAGAAAAAGCGTGCTCCTTTCGGATGAGTCCATGCGTTCCTCGGCACCTTGTGATCTTACGGTTCCAATATCTCCTACGTTGGCATTTGGCAATGGTACTTGATATATCCCCATTCCCAACAGCGGAGACATCTACGTTCTTTGAGGCCATTAACTTGACCGTAGGTCAGTACCCTTCTTCCTTCCTTCTACGACGAAATATCTCTGAGTAATGTGAATATGTCACAGTATTGGGTGAACATAATAAACAAAAATATTACAAAAGAAAAATTGTTTAATTTCCAATATCGCCATAAAAAATTTAACAAAATTCGAGTGTAACCATAACGCCTGGTGGAAATGAGGGAGAATGTGTAATATTTGAGAGTTACAAAATACCCAAAATAAATTAATGATAAATCATATAGATTCTCAAAATTATGGCCTATATTGGCTTTATAAAAGATTTATGGAACAACCTCCGGCTGGTATTTGCTCAAAATAAAAAGATCGTAAAATTTGAAGATCTTTTATTTTTAAAAAATTTTGAGCAACGATCTTCAAAGATCTTCATATTTTATAATGTTATAGTAAATTATTAATTTTATGATATTATTTTTTAAAGTAAATGGGTTAGTAAGCATGCTAAATTAAAATAAAAATTCAATAAAGATGTACCGACAATTTTCATAATCGTTATTTTTTTAAACTTTTTTTGACATATATGGGTAAAAATTTATATTTAAAAAAAAAATTATATTAAAATTTCAATGAAGATGTAATGTAACACAGAAAAGTGACAATTGTCATAATCGTTATTTTGTAAATTATTTGATTTATTGTATCGCAAATAGGTAAAAATTTATATTATTTAGATGTAAAAATAAAATTTCAATGAAGATGTACCATAGAAAAGTGACAATTGTCATAATCCTTATTTTAAACTTTTTTGAATTTTTTTAAAGTAAATGGGTAATAATTAAAATTTCAGTGAAGATGTACCACAGTAAAGTGACAATTGTCATAATCGTTAATTTTTATCTTTTTTGAATTTTTTTAAGGTAAATGGGTGAAAATAGATTTCTATTTTTTACCCATTTGCTTTAAAAAAATTCAGAAATTTTAATTTAACATGTTAACAATATCTATTTTTACCCATTTGTTTTAAAAAAATTCAAAAAAGTTCAAAAATAACGATTATGACAATTGTCACTTCCTGTGGTACATCTTCACTGAAATTTTAATTTAACATGTTAACAAAATCTATTTTTACCCATTTGCTTTAAAAAAATTCAAAAAAGTTCAATAATAACGATTATGACAATTGTCACTCTCCAGTAGTACATCTTCACTGAAATTTTAATTTAACATGTTAACTATATCAATTTTTACCCATTTGCCTTAAAAAAATTCAAGTTCAAAAATAACGATTATGACAATTGTCATTTTCCTGTGATACATCTTCACTGAAATTTTAATTTAACATGTTAACAATATCTATGCTTTAAAAAAAATTTCAAAAATAACGATTATAACAATTGTCACTTTTCTATGGTACATCTTCATTGAAATCTTATTTTTACATCTTAATAATAAAAATTATAACCTATTATTTACGACACAATAAATCAAATAAGTTAAAAATAACGATTATTACAATTGCCACTTTTTTGTGTTACATCTTCATTGAAATTTTAATTTAATTTTTTTTTAATATTAATTTTTTTTTTACCCATATATGTCAAGAAAAGTTTAAAAAAAATAACGATTTTGTAAATTGTCAGTACATCTTTATTGAATTTTTAATATAACATGCTTACTAACTAACCCATTTACTTCAAAAATATCAAAAAAATAATAATTTACTATAACATTATAAAATATAAAGATCTTTGAAGATCGTTGATCTAAAATATTTTTAAATATAGATCTTTGAAGATCGCTTTTAAAAAT